CAAGCACCGGAACTCTCCGCTTTATAATAGTTATTTTAGTACATCAGTAAAAATTTATTATTTTTATATACTATATATATATTTTTTTTTATTAAAATTTTTATATTATATGTTTTTTAATATATTTTATTTCAAGTAAATGTGTTCATGGTATTAGTTTTAGCTAACGATAATAGCCCTGCTTAGAGAACAGCAGTAAGCTAGAATGTGGTATAAAGTCAGCGGTCAGGGTCAGAGGTCACAGGCTTCATTCATGCACACCGAGTGTGAAGAACAGCTGAGCGACTGTCCATCAGACTTCTAGATGATTCCTCTGCGTGAAGATCATTCAGGGTCAAAGGTTAAGCCCTCTGGTCTCTCTCGACCAATCAGAAGAGATCTCACATGAGTGACAGAATGCATCAGAGTTTCCATTCAAATGAAAATGCAACATAAAATAAATCAAAGGTCAAATGTCACATTCACCTCATCCATAAACCATAAACTCATTAGTCAGTTAGAAAAATACCTCTAGAGCGGAGCAATACATGCATTATATAACATTAATATTCATTCATGTAGATTTGTCATGTTTTTATTACAGCCACTGTTTAAATGTCTATATTTCAAAACAAATTAATATTTACACTCCCGCTCAAAAGTTTGGGATCAGAATGATTTTTAATGTTTTTACAGGAGTCTCTTCTGCTCATCGAGGCTGCTTTTATTTGATTAAAAATACAGGAAAAACTGTAATATTGTGAAATAATATATAATATATTAATATATATTAAACTGTACTGTATTTCTGTGATGCGCAGCTGTATTTTCAGCATCATTCCTCCAGTCTTCAGTGTCACATGATCTTCAGAAATCAGTATAATATGCTGATTTATCATCAGAGCTGAAACTGTTGATGCTTCATATTTTTTTGGAAGCTGTGATGCTTTTTTTCAGGATTCTTTGATGAATAAAAAGTTACAAAGAAGAGCGGTTATTTAAAATAGAAATCTTTTCTAACAATATACACTAGTGTTCAAAAGTTTGGGGTCGGTACATTTTTATTCTTTCTTTTTTTGAAAGAAATTAAAACGTTTATTCGGCGAGGATGTGTTAGATTGATAAGAAGAGATAGCAAAGATGTATATTGTTAGAGAAGATTTATATTTTGAATAAATGCTGTTCTTTTTAACTTTTTATTCATCAAAGAATCCTGAAAAAAGTATCGCAGTTTCCAAAAAAATATTTGTCAGCGTACTTGGCTATACATACATACATACAATTATAACATAAAACTTCTGACATTAAATGAAGCAGCATTGCAGATTTGCAGGTCACTCAGATGTAAGTACATAAGTGACATTGATTATGTGACAAAAGGTCAGATTTCCTTCAAGCACAAGTCATGTGTTACTCACTTGTGGCCTACAATCAGTCCACAACCTGAACAATTTATCATTTTTATATATTTTTTTATGCTTTAACTTTTCAGTTAGACCCCACAGAATATACACTGAACATATATTCTTATTTATTTAATACATGCATAAATAAATCAATTTCTTCTTAGAATTTTATTTATGAGGTTTTATCTCATAAATATATTTAAAATATATATATATATATAAAATCATTTTTATGTAAGGCACTTTGAATTACCATTGTGTTTAAAATGTGCTATATAAATAAAATGATGCCTTGTTCCTGTGTAGATAATGAAGTTTAAATACTCCATGTATCTGCTGTAGAACTTTATGTAAGTCTATTGATTCTGATAACGTGAGCGTTTGTGTGCTTAAGATATCTGAAGGTGACTACTGGAAGAGCAACAGTGCTGTTTAAAGTGTGAAAGCAGATAAAAAGAGAGTGACAGAGAGAGATACAGATAAAGAGAGGGATAGAGAGAGAGAGAGAGAGAGAGACTCACGGTCTGAAGCTGAGGCTGTAGGGTGGGTTGGTCACCATCATCTGACTGAGCGCTGATACGATGACGAGGATGAGGATGGGCATCAACTGCATGAGAAGAGCAAGACCTCCCTAAACACACACACACACACACACACACACACACACAGACACACACACACAATCATA